AAGGGTGGAGGGAAGGTGTTTTAAGATTTAACTTTTATTTTCTCATTATCCTACTGTGATTTGATTGGTAATAAATTAAATTGATTTTACCCAAGTTGAGTGTGTTTTGCCCGTGACAGTAATAGGCGAGTGATCTCTTCTTGTCCTTATCTCAACCCACGAGCCTCTCATTATACTTTGTCTCCCTTGTCCAGCTGAGGAGGAGAGCAATAGAGTGGTTTTGGTGGCCACCTCGTGTCCAGCCAGGGTCAACCCACCACAGTCCACAACAAGAAGTCACTTGTCATTAATACAACCACCAAGACAGTATTTGGGTACAATCCGATTAGATTGACCAGGAGTTATGGGAGCTTGAAAAGATGGGAAGAGGGTAGCATGGGCAGAGCTGCCCTCCACGCCACCTCAGCTGGCCCCTTCCTACACGGCTGCCTGCAACCAGCACCAGGCTCTCTCCATCTCACCCACCAAACCCCTCTCCAGCAGTACTCACGGATCAAAGACCAAGCGTGTGATGTACTCCTTCGGCATTCGAGGCAGCTGATGGGAGAACACATTCTGCAAACCAACCAGCCACATCATGATCTTCTTGTTGGGCTTCTGGTTCAGGGAGTTGCCAACCACGTGGAATTCAATCACCCCCCTGCGCTCCTCCAGCCTCGCTGCCTCGTCCCGAGCTGAGTGCGCTGAGAGGAAGTTGGTCTGTACCACACAAAAGAGGAACAAAATCACATTTTGGAGATTTCATATCTTCTGACAGACAACCTTAATGAACAAACAAATGAAAACCCTTCCTTTTTCCAAGTCATCTTTTTACCAAAATAGAGCTGCCAAGGATTACCTTTTTCTAGCAGAAGTGACACCATCAAATAAGCTGGACATAAGTCTACACTACAGTGTACAAAGGCTTATTCAAACTTCTTTTGTTAAAGATTAAGTAACAACAGTGATGGCTAGGACTCAACAAATTCCAAAATCTCTCAAGGGACAGTACTCATCCAGTTGAAGCCTATGCTACTATATCTTCATATCTTCTTTAGTCTAGCCAGCTCGGACACAAGTAGTGGATTTGCCTAGGCATACTGTAAATCACATATTTTAATGGTGGTGCAGGCAGTTGTATTTTTTCATTTTAGCAGTGTTTTCCACTATCTATGCCACTGTCGTAAGTGCCTAAAAAGAACATTTAAATTCCTACTAATTTTGCTGTTACATATCTAGCAATTGCATCCATATATTTGAACGGAGATGAAATTAGTACAGACAATTTATTTAACCTTTTTTTTCCAAGACCATTTTACAATGCCAAAACAACTCTGCGTGCACATACTGTTTACTTTTTAGAGCAAAGCTTGGCTGTTGGGTTTCTAGTCACTGCCAGCCCCAACAGCCAGACTGGCACAGCATTTGTAATATGCAGAGCAATCAGTCACAGTATATAGTTTGAGTAAGAAAAGTAGGTGGTTCCAAATCTTCAGCACTCTCTAGCTAAACCTTGGCAAACAAGAGCTGCTGGCAAAACATAGTCTGGTGAAGGCAACAGAAGGAGGAAAAGCCAGCCAAAGAAAAAAAAAAAAGTGCAATTCTGTACATGGCACTATTCTGCAATCCTGTTTGTTTTTCTCTTCCAGCAGAAAAAAAGAGCAACTGTGGAAGACGGAGTGAATAACACTTTAGATCAGCCCTTCTGCACTAGACAGAGGTTTTAACTTTGGATCTTTCATTCTGTTGCAATATTTGGACCCCATTTACCTTGCCTTATGAGCTACATCTATGATTAACAATAAAAAGCATACTCTGGAACTGCTCTTTAACAAAAGTACCTTGCAAAATAACCTGGGATCTATCTTTTTACTATCACTAGTTTCCAAGTCCTTTTGCAAACACAATTTGTGCAGTACACAATGCATTAAAAAAAATGTAGAACAATTCTTCACGTTAATGACGCATTTCATGAATATTTTTTGCTTACCTAATCATACTCTTTGAAAGTCTCTATTTTTCTTATTGACAGCTTGGTAAGTTTTGTGGACTCTTCGCTTATCATGCTCTATCCATGTGGAACACTTATTAGAAACAGACCATTTACAAACAGACCATTTGCAACACCAAGTCTATATATTTCTCACCTCTGGCCCGAGCATTGCTGCAGGATCTGTAATTGTTGACATTACTTCATTGATTAACTCAATAGGAATATCTCCTACAACCCTTGGTTTTTTAGCATCCTCCAGAGAATAGGGTTCATTATTTTTCCTCTTTTCCCCTATAAAACAAAACCAGGACAAATTAGAAACAACCAAGCTGTCACAGACTAGCACTACAAAGTCCAGCACTTCTGTTATATTCTTTAGTTTGTATGCCAAGTTTTGGTGGCTTTTTTTAAACCCTGTGGAAGGGCAAAAAAAAAGAGAAATAAATTAAATCTGAACAATACTTATCACCATTGTAATTCTGTCTTTGCACTGGGTTATCCGCATGAAGCAGGATGAATATACCTCTCCTTCTCCTATACCTCTGTAAATTCACAATGAAACTATTTGCTTTTTCTTTCTGCTTCAACATCCTCTGCAGTGAATCTCTATGCTGCTGTCTTGGAAGGTCAGTGCTCAATACACAAATTATAGTGCGTACATCTGGATAACATGAAATTCCATTTTGGGATTCACTGGAATTAAGTATCCATTATAGATTTCTTCCATCTTTTTTGTAACCCAAGCAGCACATATAGTCTGACATGTCATACATATTTGACTTAGAAAATCCATATAAAGTTTTCAAATCAAAATATACCATGTTAATAATTAACTGCCCTACTAACTATGGAGCAACATGTAACATAGCAAAAGCAACTAGTTAAATTCATGAAAGAAAAGTCCACCAAGGACTAGTAGAGGTACAATAATACTGACAGAGCCAGCTGCTAGCTCAGGATTTATCCAAGCGGCAAACTGCCAAATACTAGGGAAGCATACAAACAGGAATATCACTCCATGGTTAACTTGTTCCTGTATTTTTTCCCTAAAGATCTGCTAAAGGTCAAAGCCAGGATGCAGAATTTGGCATTTGTGATCAGCACTTAGCAGTCAGATAACTTCGTCAAGTTTTTTGTTGTTTCTTTTTTTCCCTGAAGGAAAATCCACAATAGATCTTCTTTCTAAAACAACCAGGTAGTTTAGGGCCCAATATGCCCACTATTCTACACATATGGTACAGATCGTTTTTCCATAGCTATAGCACTCTAAATACACAAGGATCAAACTGTTAGTTCTCCTTTTCAGACTTTCAAGCAGTACAATTGTTTTCCTAACAATAGAATTTTATTGTTAACCTCCCTTCATTGTGGAAACTTTTACTCCTATTCTGTATTTCTTACTTTTTAAACAGTTATTCATATGTGAACAGACCTTCCTTCTTATTTCCATGGGGATTAATTTCTTGTTTTAAAACAGAATTTTTTGAAGCAATTTGTCAAAAGCTTTCTGGAAATCCAGGTACACAAAACCCTTTCCAAATGCTCACCCAGATCCTTCACAGATATGTGAAAGTCGTGAGTTTTACAAAAGGTACACTGAATTTCTGTGCATCACATTACTCTCACATTTATTCATTCCATTCTTAATCAGTCTATTATTGTTTCTTCTAATTGGCTGAAATAGGACACTTTCAATTGACAGTTTCCGGAATTCTCTTAGAACCTCTTTAAAAACTAGTTTTCTATCTGTGGTGTTTCAATTCTGTAGTGCTGAGGGCAATTCTGATGACAGCTCAGCTGCATAACTTAATAATTAGTTTGTTAATTCCACTTTTTGTTTTCCAAACTCTCAAAAAACATATTTTTTCTAGTGACTACTTACTACTTATCTTACTGATCTGTAACAAAAAAAAATAAATCTACTCATTCCCACTTTTAAGACCATTTCCCAACTTGTCCCTCAAAGAAAGCTGCAGTTTAGGAGCCACTTTAAGTTCCTCTGTAGCAAACACTGAGGTTAAGAATTCATTTAGCTTTTTCTGCTTCCTTGAGGACTTATTTTACACAAGCTCGTGATCATCTCTCTGACCTACAAACTGTCTTGACAGGTGCACTAATCCTGAGGTGTTTGAAAAAGGATTTATTAGGAGAATTTATGCATTCAACAACTATTTTTCCCCCCAAATTTTTTTTTTTAACCTGACCTCATTCAGGTTCTAAATTTAACCTGGTTGGTGTGTTTGTGCTTCTCTTTATTGCTCAAATGTATGCAATTCCTGTACCTTGAAAGACTGAAAAAAAAAAATTGAATGGCCCCTTCTACTCTGTCTTTATTTAAATGAAATCTTTTTTCATGGTTCATAATACACGTACTCCAAGTAAAGTGTTTTTCAACAACCTCTGACACCAGCAGACCTTTCCTCATTTTAATTTAAACAAACCAATTTTTTTTTTTTCAAATACGGTTGCCATTTCTGCTAGTTAAACATTACCATAGTGGAGAAAAAGAATGTGTGTGCATGTCTTTCAGCAAAAACACCTCAAGGTCATTATTGCAGAGTGAAGGCAACGATCACCATATACTGCAACTACTGATAACACTGGCAGAAGCCAAAAAGCAAGTCTCCCTCTTCGTTACCTAGGTTTGGGTCAAGGGCAGAAGAAACTTTGCAAGCAGGACTCATGTTCCCACTGTTAGGTTGCTCCAGAGACGAAGGACTTGCACTGTATGAAACAGATCTTGCAACAGGAGGAGGACTGATAACTGCAATGGCATAAAAGAGAGACACAAAAAAATCATGACATGGACACCCATTATGGTGCTGACTGAACGACTGTCACAAGGATGGACCCAACTGCACACCCACCACCTGAGAAGTAACAGCTAACATTGTGTGACAGAGCAATGCCACCACTTTCCAAGCAGAGACATTAAAGCTTTATCTCAATATATTTTTCTAAACTTAGCTCTAACAAGGGACTGTTATCACGTCTGGATGACAGAGATTGCAAGTATCAGGCTTTATTATTCTGCAGTGCTGAGCACAAGCTAAGAAAACAAACTCCATTCACATACCTGCCAAGCCTACTGCCGTTTAGCTTCAGGAAAGGCCTTTTTGTAGGGGTCTATTGAAAAGCAAAATCTCATCACTCAGCTTCAGCTGTCCACTTTAACAGTGCTCAGTGACTGGCTGGACAAATCAAACCCAATAAAGGGAGAAGTCATACCAGTTAAGAGGATGAAACTATTATTTTGAAAGGCCACAGACTAAAATATCTCTCTCTCATATTTTTTTTAACAAAACACTCATCCCAAATCATCCAGTTTTCATTTGTGCCAGGACATTTGGTAGGCAGGTGGGGGGTTGAGGTGATAGTTCGTAGTCTGGACACCTGAAGTCTTTCTCTTTGTATGCATTTATCCTGTTGTCATCACCAGCAACAGGTCTTTTGTGCCATATTCATGCCAAGAATCCAGTGCTCAAGAGATGCACATTAAAATGAAGCACTGCAGAAAGGTACATGATAGAATGAACTTTGAGAGTAACATGATTTTAGAGTCACAATGAACTTATGCCTAAGGCATTAATTCACCAGTTCATGGTGCAGACCAGGATTTTCTCACAAAAAAAGCCTGTATCTGTCACAGTGGAATCTCCCTACTACTCTAGGAAATTCACTATTGGGTAAAGTGCTGACATGATGGTTTTGTCAACTGACAATCAACAATGGCTTCAAAATACTGAATTGTTACAAAACACTAAATTAAATATCTGAAAATTGAAGTCAATCCCTGAGCTGCATAAATGGATTTTAAATACTTTTGAGCAGAAAGGAAGAGGAAAAGGGGAAAGTGAAAGAAAACCATCATCAATGTCTCCCTGCAATTTTAGGGATGACTTACACCTCAATACCTTAACTGAGGAAAAGTGAATAAAGCTGCAGAATGGCTGATGAGGCACATGAATAAGGAATAAAGTAAGGAAAAGCTAATAAAAAACCCCAAGAAAATCAAAGGCATGTGTGCAAAGGCAATGGTACATCTGATATGGAAGGTCCCTATATCCCTGCTGCTAGGGAGTCAGAGGACTGGCATGGGTCCTCATGCAAGGGGACCACTGTCCAGTGGGTCACCCACTGCGGCCATTTAGCCGCCGACCATTCTCACGTGCCCACATTGAGTGCACCTGTGCCTCCTGAATACTCACACGATTTGCCTCAGCACTCAGCCTGTTCCACTGGCACCTTCTATTAGCTGGATTTCATCATCAAAGTGGGATCTTCATATGAGGAAGCACGAGAAAGTCAGACACCTGTGCTTACTCGAGGCAGACTGATTTCCGTATAGGCTGCTATTGATAAAGCTGCCTATCTATGTCTCCATCCTAAGAATTCATCATCTGTACAGGCTTATCTTTATATCCAGGTGCTTCCTAACCCATCACTAAATGCAAATTACCTGTCTGGATTCCTAGCTGGCCAGTTTGGGAACTAGACACCATGAAATCCTGATCCCAAATGGGAGAATTCTGGCTGTACACTTCTTCTTCCAGCATCGACAGAAACCTAGGCACAAAAGCAGGTGAAATATTAACTTAATAGGATCATTCAAAACAAGTTCTTTTTCAGAATAAGCATTTGCAATTTTTTTTAATTTAAAAAATATTTACTGATTCAGTAAGAAAATACTGTTGGCCAATTCCTTTTGGAAAAAAAAAAACACCCTACACACACACACAAAATCACAAGCCAGAGTAGACATTAAATATCTTAATTCAGTAAAGTGCTCTCACCTATGAAAATTTATCTTTGATTGTAAGCAATATCTATTTAACTTGCAAAAGCAGAAAGAAACAGTTACAAACTACTTTTACAGAACAAAACTGTGCACTAATAAGAAAGCTAAGAGTTGACAGATGCCAAGGTACTCATGTTATACAATGATGACAAAATATGTCTATTTTGATAAACCAGTGTTTTGCAGATGCACTTGTTTTCTGCCTCTTACAGATTTATAAAACCCCAGTGTTAGTTATTAACAATGCTCCTAGGAAGATATTTTCAATCCTTTAATTGTCCTACTGTAACATTTCACTGCATGTTTGTGCTTGCGTAACAGTATTTTTAATCTTACTTTGATAAACTTACAGAAACAGCGTGATTTTAAACCTCTTAGTATTATTATATGTGAGAGAAATTCCACAGATTAGACTATCCAGCATGCTTGCCTTCACAGGGCTAATACATCAATTCCCTCTCAGAAGCAAGATAGCTGCTTATCCTATGTTGCACAAAAGGGGGTTTCAGACCAGAAGTTGACATGGCCCGTTTTTACTCTCTAGAGTCATCTATATGTACAGAAACTGTCCCGCTGAAACCAACAGGACTGTTGAGTATGACTTTCTTGAACAGGATAAGGATTTTCAGGATCAAGGGCTACTCTTGTATTTTATATATAGGACATTTATACTTAAGCACAGCAATATACAGTGTTTGCTGCTATCTATATAGCTGATAATGGCTAAAAGGTATGTGACAGCTACTTGACCATCTGTGACGGAGCAGAAGCAGAAATTAAACTTTAGCTACAGCTACATTTACAGGCAGCACAGAGGCTCTGCGTTCAGATCCCTTGGTGACTATTTCCTAGGTACATACAGACATAACCTGTGGGTCCTCCCTTTGCCCAGGAAGGAGCAGTGGGGACAGCCCTGATGCCAGGCACCGGCCCCGTGCTCTGAGCTGCAGCATCTCCCCAGGGTTCACTCTGCATAATGCCAGGAGAGACAAATGCTTCAGACAAGCACAGCCCATAAAAGATTTAAAACGTTATTCATATTTCCCACAGATCATCAGCAAACAGTGCTTGTCTGTCTTTTTTTCCCCAGTAGAATATTAAAAGGAACTGCAGTGAATAATAATGCTTTTCAAATTACTGATTTAGGCTGTAAAAGGCAATGGAAACATAGGAGCGTATGCACACCTCCTTCCTCCGCAAATCTGCTCCTTCTATCAACGTGATGTTAAATCTTTTTTTGTATCTATTTCAGGGCCAGATCATGATCTTATTCCCAGATGTACACAAACATTCCTGTATCCATAACACTCTACCCCAGAGACAGCTTACATTCTTCAAAGTGGTAAAAGGTACTATCAATAATAGCGTGAGCAACAAATCCTGGCTCTGCCAAGCTTTGGAAAGCTCATGTTGTTTTTCATTGCGCTGAGCGCTAATCCTGTTCTAGCCCCAGACAGTAGCTTGCATAGCATCAGTGCCACCAGCTCACCTGTAAGTTCAGTTCCTTTGCTGTTAGGAAGGACAGATTTTTAAAACATGAGCCAGAGAGCCAAGCCATCCTCATAAAACAAGGATATATTTTAAGCGATACACTATTTTAACAGGAAGCATACAATGAATGATCCTGTCGCCACCAGCTCCTTTAATCACCAGTAAAATGTGTGAAATTAGGGACTGTCAAAATTGAGCATGTTTCAAGATAAGCCACTCTCCCCCATACCCCAATATGTAATTATTATTGTTTAATTGTGAGAGATTGTCATCAATATCCCAGTACTGGAACAGGTAGTCAATATGAAATTAATGAGTTTAGGATTCACTGATGCAGCTTTACACTGACTACTCTCTTCTTTGTCAAATGAACACATCCCTTCTGGGGGTGAGGTGACTACTTTGTTCCCTATTACAATGTTGAATTAAATTGAAATCCTTCAGTGTATATAAACTCCAGTACAACACTCCATTTTTTACTGCTCCATCACAAAAGCAGAAGTGAGCATATGTTTGTTGGAGATCTACACCTATGTGGTTTCCAAGGACTACAGAAAAAGAAAGTAAGTGACCAACAACACCTGCTAATAGGCAATAAGCACAATCCCCCAGCAATCTGAATAATCCTTTTTGTAAAGCAAAGCCCCAGGACAAAGCAAAACAAGCTGTTCTGTCCATAAAATACACTAGTTCAAGCTGTGGCAGAAAAGCAAGCTGCAGTGCCTACTTGTTATTGAGTAAAAGGAGAAATTTTTAAGCTGCAGGTAATTTTTCCATTTCCATGACAAAGTTGCATACTACTGGTTAACCTTCAACGCAGGCACATTGTGATCCCTTACTTTGGAAAATGAGTGAGGATTAGTGTTCGCTTTTCTTGAGGAAGCTTGTCTTTTTCTTGCCTAGCCTGCTCCAGCAGTTGCCGTCTCATTATGGTAAAAACGGAGCGAAGCAATGTCCTACCAAAAACCTGGGTGGTTTCATACCGAGGTAGACTGTCACAGAACTGAGGGACATTGCAATAACAAAGCCACCTGTAAAGGGGAAAAACACCAGATAATTATCACCATCTAACATATGAATTAATGCAATAAAACCATTACTCACATCATTTATAACGCACCTGAGAGCTATATGCCCATAAAAATCAGTTCCACATCAAGTCTGGACAGAGTTAAGCAGCATTTATATTGCCTAGTTTTTTTAAAGAAATGACAGCCAAGTACTTTTAAGTCTCCATATATTATTCTTCTCTGCAGTCTAGTTTCCACAAAGCACTTTTGTTCCAGACAATAATCATAGCTCACATAAAATTTGTGTTGATGTCACGGATTCTCTCCACAGCTCATTCAGTCTCCCACATCTCCTGCCTGCGGCTCCAAAGACCCTTAGCCTGGCTCATTTTCCCCTCTTTAAACTTCTACATTTCCCCCACATAGACGCAAAAGGGATGACACTTAACTAGCTTCATCCCAGTCCGACTGGACTCCCACCGTGGTCTCCCAGCAGCTGGCTTCTTCCTATTACACCCTGACTTGATACTCTTTCATTTACCAGTAACTCCCTCCATAATGAGGTTTGCATTAAGAAGTACATATGAAAATATAGCATGTTGTGTTATTCTTCTTGAAAAAGGGATCATGGTACTGAAGAGGTAAATCAGGAGTACACTGACTATGTAGGTCACAATATCTGTCAATTTTATAAACAACATTTCAGTATGTGCATGTAAGGTAACAGTTAATGGTATCTGTAGCTTTAGCAGAATCAGACCACAACCATTATGAAAGCTCCAACAATGAAAAGAAAATGTTAAGAACTGGATGCAAACAGACTGTGCTGGACCCTGCATGGGCTTTTTCATCCAGACCCAAAGTACAACCTGTCTCAAAATGCTCTCCCAAACTCTTGTGACTTAATCTTTGCAAACACAAGAGTTGCGAAAGAGTTGAGATACAGTTGTTCACAGACCTCTGCTCCCTGTTCTTGGCCGATAAAGCACACCTCTCAAAACACAAGGATGCATGTGAAACTCTGATACAGTTTCAGTCAAATCATCAGGTTTTCAAATTAAGTCAGTGACTCCAAGAATTCATGAGGTGCACGCATGGTGCACAGCAGCCTCCTCAGCATCCCGAGCACTGCCTTGAATACCGCAGAGGGGAGAAGCTTACAATGACAGGTTAGATCAGACGGAAAGAAGCAGCACTTTGGGTCAGGGGGAACCTTAGGGACTGCGGGCAGGACAGTTTGAGAAACCACAAGTGAGAAAATGATTAACAACAGAAGTGACCAACCAGAGCCAATGCTAGCTATTGATTCCTAATAAAAGTTGACTCCAACCAACCCTGTCTATCTGACATCTGTATCATAAATGGAGGTCAAAGACCCACCAAACACCATCTTCAGAGCCCCATGGATTATCAGTAACTGTCTTTTACGCCATGTAGTTATTTGAGATGACAGGTCATCTGAGAACATCCCGGTTGGACACAGACACAGCACAGTCTGCTGTATCACCAGCCACAGCCTCAACTCACACCAAGGTTTGCTGTTCTCCTTCAGGGAGCTGAGGCTTGTCAGAGGAAAGGCCACAGGGAAAGCAGACAGAAGACAGTGCCCATCCTCAGCCAGGAGAAGTGTCCCCGGCCATGCTGGGCAACAGCTGTGCTGACAGAGACCTTAGCTAACTGCGCTGCCTGCAACGGCAAGAAGCTGAACTGCCGTCGCTGTGTTAACTGACAAAGGCATTGCACTATTGTCACGAGCAAAGCAAAATTAAGAGAGACCCGGCTTTTCATCCTAGCTTTTCTTCCTCCAGTGACTAAGTTATTCCTTTGAATTCTGACAACGTATTAAAAGGTCATATCAAGAACAATCATTTTAAGGAACTTAATAATATCTATTTCCCATTTAGCATTCAAGCACTTACAAAATTATTTTAATTTTTCAAATCTTCTGTGATTCGGGTTCAAACTGTGAGGCTTTACAATGCTTAATATTATCTTTCTTTTTTTTTTTTTTTTTTTTTTTTTTTTAAGTTGAACAACAAATTGCCTGAATTTTTAGTGCATGAAATAAGGATCTTGCATGAGGCTCATATCTTAAGAAGACTGAGAGTAACTTTGCAAGCCCAAGATGTGCAAAAGCATTGTCAGATACAGATGTTCACAATCTCTATTCTCTGTTCTCAGCTGATAAAGCACACGTCTCAAAACACAAGGATGCGTGTGAAACTCTGATATAGTTCCACTAAATCCTCAGATTTTCATATAAACTCCATGAGTACAAAAACTCACAAGGTGCACCTATAGCATACAGGTATTGGTGTATTCCTGAAGTGTGTACATGCCGTATTTGTAAGCAAAACTTGTAACAAGCAAAAGCAGTGTTACCTGGTATAATTCACTTTATACCCCGCAATATCATCATTGGGTGATCTTAGTCTTCGCTGAGAAGGTGTCTCCAGGTGCCAGTAGTTAATGCGGTTCAGAAACATTTTAGCCAATTCCACTATTGTTTGTCTTTCCTTTGAGGGTAAGTGGCTAAATTTGTACTGCACAAAATTATTCACACCCTTAAAACAGAAGAAAATGATGCTTAATTATTTAGCCATAATTTTTGTAGGAGTGTCCTTCAACATTCCTCACTTTATGTTTATTAACTCTGAACTTGCATTACACAGGAAGGAAAACAAATACCGGAGACCATGAACTCCTTGCTTAGCTACTCGTGTAGCTGCCACAAGCTGATTCCCCTGTATAAAGCAGCAGGTACATCCAGATGTTTTTATTCTATCCACCCCCAGCAGCTGACTTAAAGGGAGAGAAGGAAAATTATTTTTCCTTGCTTATCAAAGTAAAAAACTTTGTCAGGGAACAGAGAAGGATTGAGTAGGCTTTCTTCTATATGCTTGCATATGTACAATTTTGCTGATAACCACGCTGCATCATTTATTTCCTCTGTAAATCAAGTATCACTTATATCACCTGTAAATCACTATCACCTCTCCAGATACTTTTCAATAGTAGGCTAGGGCTTGTGGAGTTCTAGTTAAGTTTGTGTCTACGTCTCATATTATTTCTTCAGGAAGTGCCAGTATTTCACAAGTATGTCCTCTCATTGCACTTTGCATACTGTCCACGTTAAAAAAAGAAACTACTGAAGATAGTTAAAATGTGTCACTAGAAGTGTTGCAAATACATATATATTATAAAACCATTATAATACTGCTGCTTAGTAAATAATTTTGTGGGATTGAGTTGCTGAACTGCTAAAAACAGAATTGAAAATATCAGTCTATTTTAAGGTAAAATTATTTATTTCAAAATAAACTGTAAGAAGAATTACCCTTTCATCTCTACACTTTATCTTCTTAAGCAAATTGAACAGTATGAAGAATGGGACAAAAAATTATATTGTACAAAACCTTTCTAATAGTGTATTTTAGAGACTAGGAGTGTATGGAGATTACCTACACTTATTCTTCGTTTATAGTCAAACTAAAGGAGAACTTAAGGTGAAGACTTCCCAGAAATTTAGCAATAAAGTGTTTTGATTTTCCTATATTATAAGTAGTGAGAGCTGCAAGGAAATAATCGCTACACATAAAAGTCTTCACATTTAAAATACCCCGTTTAACAACAGAGCACCCATTCATCCACTAACAAAACACTGAGCTCCTGTTTCACCAAGGTATGTGAGCCTCTGCATATTCTCCCCGGAGCTAATGGGCCCACTTGTGTGCCAAAAGTGCACTCTCAGGAGCTTGCTTAACTAAAACCTGCATTTGTGATATGCTCTTCATCCACTGAGAGTTACAAAAGACTCAGTTATTCTTTGGTTTCGGCTTTGTTTTTTGTTGTGTACTCTTTGAAAGAGAAGGCTATGACTTCACTGAATTGGACTGTAACGTTTTCATTGATTTATAGAAGACAAGTGTCATTTTAATATTGGATTTCAAATTTTCAACAGCATTTTTCATCACTTGAAACAAAAAAAGAACTGCCACACATAAAAGTAGTATTTTAAGTTCATTCTCTAAAACTGAAAAAAGAGTCGGCTTCATTAAAGCGTAAGATGAACAATGAGAGAAGTCAAATAATGTAACTATTGTACCAACACTGAAGGAGAAGCAGCAGCAGCCTCCTACAGTCCCCTACTTTGTCCTCAATAATACACAGAAACATCTGCAAACTGCCTAAAATGCCACGTTTTCAAAACCAGTGCCTATGTTTACACACACAAAAAAAGAAAACCCAAAACAAACACACAAACCCAAAAACCCCCACCAAAAAAAACCCACACCAACCAAACCCATATTTTGACTGTTTACCTGTTCAATGCTAGGTTTCTCAAATGGAGGACTTTCCAAAGATCCTTCTACTACAGGCTTTCCCATCTGTAAAATGCACTTCCTCAAAAGCTGTTAAAAATATACAAATTGTTTAAAATAAGCATATTTGCATACACAGGGTCAATGGAAGTCACAGGTGCACAACACTGCAAGCAGTGTTGAAAATCTCCTGGCTATATATCTACTTGTTTAGTCATCTAAATTTGTAGCTACTAAACTTCACTGCGAAATCTTCTTTGAAATGTGTATAAGAGGCTTCTCTGAGCAAATGCAGGCAGCTAAGATAGCATTTTTGTCAATTGGTTTTTCCCAATGTGTAAGTGAAGAGGCTAAGGCTTGCAGGTTGTGCAGTTTGTAGATGAGACTCAAGGTCAGCTCCTCAATCATCTGGATGACTTTTGGAGTAAGATACGGTACACTGCAAGTATCAGAACATTTAGCCCATAGTTAGCCACTGGAGATAAAAAGTCGTGCCAGATAAAGTCAATACATGTATAAGGGGCAGTAAAATCAGCTTATGTGTGAGACAGTGGAAAAAACTGAGAAGATACTACACAAGTTCAGCTTACTTTGAACAGGTAGAAATACACTTGCTTGGTGTCTGCATCTTCTTCTTTGTGGACACATGTGAACAGATACTCCACATCCAATACAATCCCCAGAAGCCTATTCATTTCTTCTTCAGACACATTCTCCAGGTGAGAAACATGAGCAGCTAAACGAAATAAAAATCCAAACCTGTAAAAAGCCTAGTGAGAGAACCAATAGCACAAGTATTCCCCAGGATATCTCCAAGTAAGCTATAATGGTAGAGGCACTGATCCTGTAATAACCTATTTAAACATAACGTCTTATCAGAGGTAACTGAAATATGTGTCACATTGGAGCAATTTGTAAAGGTAGTCCAGTGGTGGCAATTCCCACAGCAGAGAAATGATGGCTGGTTGCAATCACAGCATCTGTTAACACTTAAAACAGACCACAAAAGTCCTGTCTGTATTAATATGTTGCAATATATAAATAACTACATACATTTTTGCGCAAGAGCTATGCTTTTGAGATAAGGTTTCATGACTAAAAATAAATCTGTGATTCCCAGAAACTAGGTAATCCAGGTGTTGATGCAAGTAGCACCTTATTCTGTGAAGACTGAAAAAAAAAAACCACCCCAAAAAACCAGGTCCGTAAATGGGCTTTTTGTTTTAAACTGGACACTATTGGCTAAGTCTCTTACTTTCATATCATGTAAGGTCAAACTACGCTTTCTGCACACTATATTAACAAAGCTTTTGTAGATTGTACATGCTCATTTTTTCAGAAGTTTATAAAAAAGCATCTTTCAATGTATCATGATTTCCAAGTGACAAACTCCCTTTTATCATCTCCAAAGGTAAATACAGTCCCACAACTGTAATTTTCAAAAGCTTAACGTTTGTACGGGTGAAGCGGGACATTCACTTCAAGCTGGTTTGAACAAGTGGCCCCAGGAAGAGAGAAGGCAATTTAAAACAAAATGTCAGTTCCCTGAAAGAAGATATTTGCATTACAAAAAGCAAGGACCTTCACTGACTCCAGGCCCATGTACATGGTATGCATATCCTTTCCTCTGAAAGGACAAGAAAATCCTTTAAAAGAAAAGGAAGATTATTTAAAAGATTGGGCATATTAGTTTTTCTATATTTTAATAACTTTTATCAATATTTACTTCTTAGAAATTATTATATTATCTTAGATATGCCAATGTGATTAGGATTGGTAAGAAATTTTCAACATAAATCTGATTTCTCAGTGGGGGAGGAAGTGGGGAGAAATAACAATTGTCCTGAAAACGATCATATTTACTGGCCACCCAGTAAAGAGGGTTTGTTTTGGGAAGGCTGGTACGACACCTGCCAAAACATTTAAATTCAACAAATTTGTGCAGCTTCAAGTAAAAAGGGCATCGCAGCTCAGAACATTAAAAAGACGCCAGCAATTGTTTCCACTTAAATGAACATTTATAATATAGTATCTTAAGTTCTGAGCATATGCTCAGAACTGAAAGGGGGATGGTCATCACGAGCTTTCTTTAAGGATTCAGCATTCTGGGCAGAATAAAACAATTTCATTTCTGTCCTTGAGCCAGACATGAAGGTTTAATATTCCCAGCTGTCTGTTCTGATCTTGTAAAAGTAATAAATACCCTCCTAGATGACCACTGCATTAGAAATTGATAACATATTGAAGAAACCTTGCACTCAAGTAACAAATGAATAAAACATCAGCATAAGCAGCCATTTCCACGCAGTTTCCATAACTATACTGAAAGTTACCTTGACTACATAGTGGTCATATTTAAACATTTTATTAAACTAGAGAACTGTTACCCATATGGTGAATCTAAAAGTAACATAAATGTATTTTACCAGCATGTATTTACTACTGGTAGAGTCACCAATGTTTGTACATCAGCCCAACAAACTATCTTTCTTCAGATGTTCACAGCCCTTTCCCAAATTTTTGTGGCCACTAGTAAATCTTTATTAAAATCAAAGCTTTAGTACACGGACATCAAATACTGCGTTACTCTTGACCAGAATTACACAGTCCCATTCATCTGCATTGCCCAATGGGTACACCCTTCCTCAGCTGCTGTTATGCTTGCAAAAAAACGATAAAAAAATAAAAATAAAAAAAAATAATCACAAGTATAGGTTGCTACAGCATGCAGAAGGAGAAAGCATGCAGAAAGAGCAGGCCAATGCAATGATACGAAGACCTGAAAAATAGCAAGTTAGTTATTTCAGTTGTGCACCTTCAATAAGCAAGTACTTGAGTGTACAAACTCGGAGCAGTGAGAAAACAGATTAATAAGGAATGTGTCCACAGTCTAACTCAAAATCAATGTTTACATAAAAACACTAGTAATGTATATAGGCAAACCAAGAAATACTCAAATACGCTACGTGAAGGTGCACAGCAGGATCTGAAGATAGTGCTGGGGAAAAAAAGGGAGACTGAGTGTGTATATAGTGTACGAACACATTAGTTAACTAGTTTTAAAAGTCACTCAAGACTGCAAATGTTTACCAACAGGAAAATGCACCCTGTAACACAGGAGAAACCAATCAAATACAAAAGAGACCAGAGCCTCTGACTACATAAGGCTTGATCTTGAGGCTGGTGGAGACTGAATTCTTCCAGCACCCAAATCAGTGCCACTTCACAGTGTTATGGTAATGACCCAACACATTGCCTGAATAAAAGAAATATTCAAGAAAAACTCAGTATTGAATCAAGCTGTGGGGCTGAGGCACAACTAGAAGAATACAAGTTGTAGGTAAGTAGACAGAATACAAGAAAAGAATACAAAAACCAATACAAGTTGTAGGTAAATAGACAGAAATAAGCTCGATAAGCTAATACGCACCACCAGACAGATTTACGCACCAAAAACTGCACTGGTTTTAACATCGAACCATACCCCCAAAAAGAGATGTCTGAAGCAAGACTAATGTCTAGGATTACCTTTGGAAGAAAATAATAAACAAAACAAACAAAAAAAGGAAGAAAACGCAAACATCCTACATTTTACATCAGGTATGGCTTTAACCAGTACAGGAATTTCTACATCGCTATTTCATGGCTCTCTGAGGAAGAGAAAATGCAGCGCAGATGATAATCTGAAGCCTACACACCTTGTGGGCAGTCTGGTTTTACAGGCATTC